CTGCCGAGCACCGCATGAGGACGTGCAGGAACACGTCCAGAAAGAAACCAGGCAGCGTGCAGAGAGGGGCTTGATCTGTCCAGTTTTGTTACACAACCCTGGCCCCACCAGGTGGAGAGAGCAGAGCGACGGGAGCTGCAGGCAATGAGGTCTAGTCCACATGCCCAGGGAAACAGACCACATCCAAAATGGGGGCAGGGAAGGGCAGCTGTCTCCACCCATTAATCTGAGTTCATTTCCATCTTGGCTCCTAGCAGGCCCCAGGCACTCTGGCTGCTGCGGGAAAGGTGGGGGGTTGGGTCAGTGGCTGGGTGGGGAGGGGGCCGCGACAGGATCTCAGCCTGATCAGCGCAGGGAGAGGCCCGAGAACCATCCTTCTAGTTGGCTCTGTTCCTTCCCGGTACAAAAGACAACGTCAAACCCAGCTGGGAAGGAGAGGCGGGGGAGAGCTGGTCTGACGGCTCCTGAAACAGGGTCCCAGAGCTCAGCCCAGTCCTACCCCAGAGTGCTTGGGCCCAGCCCCATCTCAGACTGCCCCAGAGCTTCTATGGGATGCATACAATTGATGTGGAATAATGGTCACTGGCCCTTTAACTCTCAATGGGGCAGGGGGAGTGCGTGTCTCTCTCTGTATCACGGGAAGCTCCCCCCCGCCCCCCTTACCATTCCTTAGGCTCTATGTAGCTGGAAATCGCCTTGCTAAGGCCTCTAACCTCCTTCTACCATCTACCCTCGGAGCTGGCTTGGGGAGCTTTTCTTCTCCTCTCCATTAATCTTGGGCCCCCATTTCTGCATGGGAGTCACACAGACAAACCCTCCTATACACCTCTGTGCCAACAGCCCCCTGGCTGATATTCCCAGGCAGGGCAGACTAGGGGTGGATTGCTGCTGGAGGTTTATTTACCCCAGGACTTCCTCAGCCCCAACCATGGTCGGTGCTGAGAGCAAGGAAAGCGTCAGGCAGCACCAGACTCTAAACTGGTGTCGATATAGCTATGCAGAGTTACAGCAGCTGAGGATCTGGCCCTCATTGCGTAGGAGACACTGCAGCTCTCATCAGCAAAAAACACTTGCTACAAAGCAGATCGGGGGGTCTTTGGCTGATGGCCACAATTATGCTGAGATTAGCAGCCATCCCACTTTCCTCCACTAGTAGCAATATACCGGTTTTACTTCAGTTGATGTACAGAGGGGCAAGTGGGATCTGAATCAGGCCCTCCGTTGCTAAGAATGGCTGAAGGCTGGGAGTGCAGCGTTTTGTTCTGTTTCCTGCAGAGATGAATTCAGGCTGATTAAAGCCACATTTTAAAAACAATGTTAAAATCCTGCTGCGAACCCATGAACAGCATTCAGTCCAGAGACACGCCTACCAGCCTGGGCTGTATTTCCCTGCGTCGGTTCTATTCCCCTGCTCTCCCTTCTTGGGAACATTTGCAGGACAAGAGGATCTTGGCTTTCACAGAGTCAGCTCTGCTGTCTTCTTCTCCCTCCTTGTTACTCTCGGATGGCCTAGCAGAGGCATCACAATTTCCACAGCAGCCAACCTCACTGCCAGTGGCACAGAGATGGGGTTGTGATTTGGAAGGAGTAGCCAGATGGGACAACTAGGCAATCCAAGAGTGAGAGATGGCCCAGTGGTTCCTGCTCTAGCCTAGGACTCAGGAGACGCAGGTTCAGTTCCCTGCTCTGTCTCAGGCTTCCTATGCAACCTTGGGCAAGTCATTTAAGCTCAGATCCTCACAGGTATTTTGGTGCCTAACTTCCTATCTTCCCTTTGAGGATCTGGGCCTTAGCCCCGCTGTTCCTCATCTGTAAAATGGGGGTGGTGAGGATAAAGCCACTGAAGACTGCGGGGTGCTCAGAGGCTGTGGGCCCAGTAATGCCCAAGATGGAGATGATCAGTGTCATCTCTAGGTTGTCAGATTGACCAGATCAATAAGGACTGAAAGTTAACGGCTACTGGCTGTTTGGTGGCCCCAGTCCATTTCCTAGTGGAGAAACATCCTGTACAAAAGCCACTGGCACTGGTTGTCCCCCTGGTTGGTATTCCCAGCGGTGGGACTGGATGACAGAGGCTGAACGCCTCTCTGATCCCTAGAGGTCGTCCCAGTGCCCAGACAGCCTGCCTGTGTCATCCCTGCTCTGCGGACGTCTGTCCAGGTCAAGAGGTGGCTGGAGCATGGTCACCCACTTCCTTAGATTATCATCAGCCCCCAAACTGGTTTTACCTGCCGCTGGTTTTATCTTTCCATTCTGCTCAAACCACCTTGAGCATTGCTCACCTGTGCTGGGGTCCACACCGCGGCATCTTCACCGCCGTTCTTAGCCAGGCAGGCTCGATTAAAGCAAGCAGAGGTACGCCTACCCGAGTCGCAGTCACACCTCCGACTGCAAGTGTAGACATCCCCTCAGAGGAGGAGCCCAGCTCCGAACAGGATCAACACCCCCGAGTAGCTAAACCCTTAGGAACAGGAGTCATTTGAGAATATCCCACTCGTTTTAACCCAAACCTACTGGATTCCGCCTTTCTTAAACCTGGAAGAAGAACTTCAAACATGTCCTGAGACTCATCCAGATAAGAGGCCCAGAAACTTTTCTTGACTTCATCGATATTCTCTTTGGATCAAGGGTTCCACCTAGTGGTGACATAGTTGTAACCACTCAGTTTGCTGCAGAGAGATGGTCCCTGCACTTGTTACTCCAGAAGATGCTGTTGGACATCAAATATACCAGCTGTGTCAGTGACTTTTCCTGCTCTCCCCAGTCGCAGGGACAGGGGTTGTTGGCTGTTTCCACTCCCGGTCAGCAGCACTGGCTCACCATGTAATGGTGGCTTTTAAGGGGCAGAAGTTGTTAAACTGAGGAATTATTTTTAAACAGTTCCCCTGAATAGGTTAAGTGTAGCAGAAATTCAGAGATGTCCCAGGCCCTCCAGTACCAGCTTCCATTCTGCCCGAGCTTGGAATAAACCCAGTCCAAGCCCAGCATAAGCAGACACCCCACTTCTTGGGCATCAGTAGGGTTGCATTCGGCTCCATTGCCAAAGAACCACGAAATGATGAGGCGTGGAAGTGAAAACTAATTTATTTAAGAAAAAAATCCCGGCAAAAGGAAAAAGATATTGATGACAAGCTCTGGAAGCTTTTGTCAGAACAGCAACAAAGAGATCAGCTTTATACAACAGAGCGAAGGTGGCTAGCGAGACAGGCAAGGCTGGCCCCCAGGTCCCCAACTAAACGTCTTCCCAATCCCCGGCAGTGTGAAGGGGAGATAAGGAGCAATTCCCAGCGAAGTTCCATTCCCGTCAAGGAGATCAACTCACCCCCTCCCTCCACTATCTGTTAAAGTGCTGCAGAGAAGCCGGGGCGGGAGGGGCAGATTGGAGAAGAGTCTATGACACGTGCCCCAGCTCTGCCCAGACTCCCTGGTAGAGGGATGCCACCCAATCTGTCGCTGGCACAACCAAGCTCTGTCCTGAGCGAGGATCCCCAGGGCTCACGGTGCACCCTGACTCCCTCCCACGAGCGAGAGCAAGGTGCACACGAGCTCTAAGGGCAGGCAAGCCAGAAGGGCCCCTCTCTCAGGTGCCAGACAGAGCAGAGAGAGGCCCCTCCGTGCCCAACAGCTCCGTACAAAACCATTGGGAACAGACGCAAATATGGCAGCAGGGTCGGCTGGGCGGTGGGGTGGGGAGAGGAAGGAAGGTTTCTGGGTCCACCTGTAAAGCATTAGGCCTTGAGCCCCGGTTCTGGCTGGTCCCCTGGGAAGTGAGCAACCAGCAACTCAGGCTAGTGAGCATCCAGCTCCCACTCTGAGGGGCTGACTATCTCCCAGTCACTGACCCTTCTCAAGTTGTGGAGATGCCAGTGCTGCCTGGATTCTCCTCTCCCCTGAGCGATATCGGCCTCCCCCAAATCCCCTGACACTCCCCAGCAGGCCCTGCCTTCCCCCAAGGGAGCTCTTCCTTCTCGGCTGGGTGCACATCGGGTTTGCAGTGGACTCGGACTAGTCCTTCCTGCCCCTTGCTCTGCTTCTCCTTGACCCACCCCAGAGGACGAGGGATGGGAGGGAGCGCCAGAGTCCATCAATAAACCCAGGGACATGAGCAGGTGCAAACACCCTGTTTTCTGCGGCAAGACCAATAGGAGCCAAAGAATACAGAGCATGGGAGTGCTGGAGAAATGCAGCGTCCCTAGACCCTCCACTCCCTTCCACCAGCCCTCCCGGCCCCCCGTAGGCCACCGTGTCATTCCTGTCCCAGACCCCGGCCTGCACATGCATCTTCTCCCACCCTCAGCACCCGGCACACACCATCTCCGTCCTGCGGATAACCAGCACTGGGGATAAAACCCTTCTTAGGCTCCCCCATTTCCCTCCCGGAGTCACACTCGGGGCAAAGCAAGAACCAAGACCTGCCTGAACCCAGAGCTGGGCGCAGTTTCAATCGGTGAGTTCCTCTGGGTATGGAGAACGAAAGATCTTCCTATCCCCTAGCCAAGGCCTCAGTGTTGGAGTCTCCCTACACCACCCACCCCTAGGGGCAACAGAGAGGCAGCGCACCCCAGCCCTACACCCCCAGGAGGCTGGGGGGATGCCCCACTCCCAGGAGGATGCGGGAGATAGCTCACCCTCACAGTCATCCCAGGAGAGCAGCAGGGGGTGGAGCAGAGAGAGGCTGGTCCCCCAGCGAGAGTCCATTAAAACTACAGAGGAAAAGGAAGAAAAGGCAGAAGAGGCTCCGAAGCCCGGTTCCAAACCCTGCAGAGCCAGTCTGTGCCCCCCTCCGCCCCCGAGGGGTCCCGTCCTGCCCCTCCCCTAACCTCCCGCCCCCGACAATATATTATCACTATGATGTGCAAGTAGATTTGCTCAGATCCCCCACGCTCCCAGCCCAAGCCCCGTCTGCACCTCGGACATTCTTGCCCACCCCACAGCGCCGCTAAGAGCAAAGCATGATGGGTAGTTAGTAGACAGGTAAGACACCCCGCAGCCCCACCCCCTCCCCCGTGCACCACCCCCCGTCTGCACTGCAGGCTGGAAGGACAGTCCTGGAGGGCGTGGGTCACTCCTCGCCCCCCTCCTCCTCGCGGTGGCGGTTGGAGACGGGAGCCTCTTCCGCCTCCTGCTGGTGGCGGGCGTAGTGATGGGGGCTGGGGCCCTCGGCGGGCAGGTTCTCCTCTGCGTTCAGGTAGACGTTGAACAGCGCCCCCTCGTGGCTCGGCTCCTTCCCGCAGGCCTGGCAGCTGCAGCGGAGGATCTTCTCCACCAGCTTGTCGACTCGGGGGATCTCGGCGTTGCCCGGGCAATCCAGCGTCACCTGGATCAGAGGAAGAGGAGGGGAGTGAGCGGGAGATAGTCCCCCTCCCCTCCAACACATACCCGCAGCCTGCTGCAGGGCAGGGCGGGGCACACAGCTCGGAGCCCACTCTGCCCCGTTCCAACTAGAAGCTCTTATGGGCAGGGACCCTTTGCATAACCCCGTGGTCAGCGTCCCATGTTCAGAGGCTGCACGGTTGTTACAGCTCCGAGCCTCAAGCTGTAGAGACTCGCAGCTCTGGAGGCCCCGGTTCAATCCCTGATGTTGGCCAAGGGAAGGGGGAGGGGATTGCATTTGTACAGCTCCTGGCACAGCGAGTCCCCAGCCAGGCACCACTGCAATAGAAATATCAAAGAAGAAGAAACTTGGCCGGCTCTTGCAAACACCACCCATTAGCTGGGCATTTAGAATCAGAGGCGGCTTTGGAAAGTTTTGCCCTAAGTCACCTGCCCCAAAGGCACCCAGTGAGTCAGCAGCAGAGCTCAGGACAGACCCTAGTTCTCCTGACTCCTGGCACCAGCTGGCTTTAGAGCCCCCGGATGCATTTAGTGATTCACATAGCACTGGGGGTGTCACTGAACCAGCACCGAACCCGCCTTGTTCCCAGGCTCACACGGCTAAATGGGGCGAGGCTTGGGGCAGGCGAGGGTGCAGAGACGTTGCTGGCGAGGAGAGCGGCAGGTGACTGGCAGATGGGACGTGGGAGGCTGTTTCAGGCATGGAAGAAGGCACAAAGCCACGAGTGGGAGATGGAGACAAAGGGAGCGATCAGAAGACAGGGCATGTGGGCGTGAGAGCAGAAATGAATAATGCATGGAGTCACGGGGGGGATGGCTCAGCAAACATTTATGTATTTATTAGTAGTATTATTCATAGCAATAGACTTGCCTTGACTAGCACTTTCCATCTAAGGATCACAGGGCACTTCAGAGGCATCAACAAATCACCCCGGGCCCATGACACAGGTGGGGAAACTGAGGCACAAAGCAGGCAGGACTAGAATCCGGGTCTCTCAGTTCCCAGGCCTGCACCTGAACTGCAAAGCCAGCCATCCCCAGATACTAACAGGGCCTTAGCACAGGAGGTGTTACTCACGATTTCCCACATGGACTGTGCGGGCATGCAGGAGTCACAGTGCACCAGGGACTCTGTAGACTGAGGGAAGGTGTTGGGGACGCTGTAGCTGAAGCACTGTCCCAAGCAGGCCCTGTGAAGTAAAGGCAGGAGTAAAGCCCATGGTGCTGAGCATTAGATGGGACTGGGAGCTTGATGCAAACCATGCACGAGACGCTCCCTGCCTAGGGCTCTGGTAGCAGGAGGTGCTTGCGGGAGGCGAGAGAGGCAGCAGGATCATGGTCTTCTACCAGGACAGGCTGGAGATAGGTGGCTAGAGAGGAAAGAGCCTAAAAGGGCTTCTCTCTGCAGCAGCTCAGCCCCATAACCAGAGCTGCTCCAGCTGCCTCTTGCAGTGATGAAGCAGGTGGCGTCTCGAGGCAGCATCCTTCTCCTCCTCCCCCTGAGAAGCTCCTCGCATGCCCTATAGTGAGCCAGCATCCGATGGGCCAGAGAAGCAGAGGTGGGGCTGAAGGACTTGGATGGAAGTGGTGGGGAGAGGAAGGAGGGTCCTTGTCTTGGCTTTCATATACTGGGACACATATGGCCTGCATGTTGACTCAAGGAGGCCACAGAGTGCCCCAGTTTAACAAGATACAGCTGCATTGCAATAAACACTTGTGTGCACACCACAGCCACTTGGGATGTCGGGGGGAGAACTCTGATTCTCATGCATCAAGAGCCCAGCTTGCCACTTGGGAAAAACCAATTGCAGTACAGGGCCAATGACACAGCTGAGCAGTTCCGAATCCATCCAGTAGAGGGCAGTGGTGTACACACAAAAGCCAGTTTGTTAGGTATCCTGATGTCAGTGAACAGAGCAGGACCCAGGAGCTGTGGCGTTGCTCCTGGACTCTCCCAGGAGAGGACCTCACCAGGGTGACTGTAGCTTGAAGTCACTTGCAAGAGAGTCGCCCTGCACTTTAAGTCTCTTAAGGGGGAAAATGAGGGCTTGAGTGCACAATTCCCTCAGTGTCTCCCTCTGACTCCAGCTTGGCGCGTGGTAACAACCTGTTCTAGGAACCTCCTCCTAGTTCTGGCTTTGCCCCCTGACCCATCAATTCCATACAACAGCCCCGTGTTGCTAAGTCCAGATGGTGCCAACTAGGGCCCTGATCCTACAATTGACTCAAAATCTTCTCCCTTAGCAGGGAGCCTGCGTCAGGCAAAGTCACCAACCTGAACAGTGAAGGAAACAAGGTGCATCTAGAGAAGCCCTGGCTGCATTGCAGCCTGCTCCCCCCGTACCTGTTCTGGATGGACTTAGACTCGCAGCCGCTGTGCCCCACAATCTGGGTGATGTTCTTCGCCTCGCACCATGCGCTCTTGTCTGGGAAAAGGGCCAGTTTGTTAATGGGGGGCGGCGCGGCCAGGATCACAGCTGGGAAGAGGGCAGCCACCAGGAACCGTAACATCATGGCCAGCTCCACCGAAACCCTAGAACTAGAATCCAGAGAGCAAAGCTTGAGCAGGTGGGAAAGTGACCCCCGTCCCCTCCCTCAGATCTCAAAGTGCCCTAGGAGCCTTCCTGCGCTAAACCCCACAAGCCCCCTGGGAGGGAGGAGCGCGTTAATACCTGTTTGCCTAGGTTCCTGTGGGCCCTGCCTCAGACTGTGGACCAGACGGTGAGCACTCGCCGATCCCACCCGCATGTGCCCTATAAATCAGGCCCTATACGATGCTGTAAGTGCTGGAGTCTGGTCCATCCTTCCTCTGCACTACTGCCCTCTCTGCAAGCCAGGCATTTATCCATCACAAGCCAGGTTAGAGGGACGTCAGGAGCAAATGGCAGGGCAGATGCTAGGGGTTGCTCCTGATGGGAGGGGGCCTGGGTGAATCATTCCCTTGGGCTTTATGGGGGACCAAACCCAGGTGCCACAATGTGTGGTGGAGAATAGGATGGACCACAGCAATGAAAGCCAAGCACCTCTTCCACCACCTACTGTCCTGAAAATGCACCCCCCTCCCACTGTCTGCTCCACAGATAGATCTGCTAGTGGAGAGGCCAAACTCCCCTCCAACGATCTCTCCCTCCACCTGGTGCATCCTCACAGAGGGGCATGCTGGGACTTGGCACTGCCCTACCATCTTGTCCTGCTGTGGAGACTGCAGCAGAGCCCAGTGCCACGGGGGTTGGGATGTCGGGGGGAGAACTCAGATTCTCATGCATCCAGAGCCCAGCTTGCCACTTGGGAAAAACCAATTGCAGTACAGGGCCAATGACACAGCTGAGCAGTTCTGAATCCATCCAGTAGAAGGCAGTGGTGTACACACAAAAGCCAGTTCATTACGGTATCCTGATGTCAGTGAACAGAGCAGGACCCAGGAGCTGTGGCGTTGCTCCTGGACTCTCCCAGGAGAGGACCTCATCAGGGTGGCTGCAGCCACGGACACAGTATAAAGTGTCATGTGTATGCCTCAGTATGACAACGGATCATTTCTTTAGCATGGCAGATAAGCCCCGGGGCTGCCCTGCCCTGAAGAACTTACAAGCCACACAGAAAATAGCAACAAGGGACCGAGATTTGCCCCTTTATTTCCTGTTTCCTTTCTCCTGCGTCCGCCCCCACCTTCCCCCGCCCCAAGCTTTTAACGCTCTATCATTATTCTCCTGCTGTGGGCACAGGGACTTGTTAAGCACGACTAGGTCCCCCACTGCGCAGAGTGGGGCTGGGTGGCACGGAAGGGGTTGGGATGACAGGATGCCCCTTCTCTCAGCAGCTGGCAGTCTGGGAGGCCAGAAACACCTTCGCAGACCCTGGCAAGCTGAGTGGGGAACGCAGAGATTCAACCACCGCCTAGGGAAGATGGGGGTTTGTATCTAGTGCATCACCTCTCTGGCTGCACACACGCTCCACACATTGCCATGAGAACTGGCCTAGCAGCCAGATCCGGCAGGCATGGCCCCTCACGCAGTGGAGAGATCTGAGCGCTTGCAGACCTGGCCCTGTTTGCACACCAGAGCTCTCTGCCACCCCCTGAACCATCAAGTCCCGATCCGAATGGGCCCAAAGGTTTCAAGGCTGAGTCCATCTCTAGGCAGCACTGACAGCAGCAGAGCTGGGGAGATGAGGGTCTCTCCTGTAAACCACTGAGCAGGGCTCCCTGTGCCCCGAGAACCCTTCACCTTTGGGTTGAGCAAGGGACCTGCAGGAGAGGCCACTCTATTCCATCGCCTCGTCACATTTCCCACCATAACCCTCTGCCCATTCAATGACAGACCGACTCAGGGCCAGCAGTTGATGCCTACCTGTCTTAATCCTTCCATCACTGCTCACAATGTGCCCGAATAAGAAGAAGAAAAAGCATCACAAGAAGAGGTTGAGCCACTGTCTAGGCCTTGGTCTAGAGACTAAGCACTTGCATTGCAAACCTCCCTCCTTCTTCCTAGTTAATATTCATGACAACATCCCTTTGCCGCTCTCTGTGGTCTCCAGCTGCCGGGCAATATTAATTATCCCGTGACTGTTTCACTCCCCTCCCTCTGGGACTAGCCAGCCACTTCTCTAGCCCCTCCTGCAGCTCTGGGTTGGGGGAAGTGTGCAGTGCATCAGTCTGTGTGTTTTCTATTCAGGGCCAGCGAGGAAATCGCCCATGGTCGTTCGTTGCCAGGGAGCAGAGAGCTCAGAAGTTAGAAGTGAAGAAACGTCTCTGACTCCTGGTGCTAAAAGCAGCCCGGCAGCCGGTGGGCAGCACCTAAGCAGCAGGCCAGAGCCTAGTGGTAACTGTCCTTTAGAGCTGCGAATGCTTCTTATTACAGCCCAGGGCCACATACACAGACAGCACAGGCCTCCGAGAGCTGCAGCATCAGGGCCAGGAATTCATCCCCTTTAGATCAGAAAGCGCACAGTGAATTATGGTGTAGGTGTGGCTGTTTTCTGCTTACAGACAGCGACCTTCCGCTGAGGAGCAAAGGGATCTCTCGCTATCGAGAGCCGCCTTCCGTACACGACCAGGTTTCCCTGCATGCAGCCTCAGGAACTCCATGCGTTTCCATTCCCAGAGCTTCTTCCCCCGTTGCCCCATCAGGGGAGCGGAGTTTGTCTCCTCCCCACTCCAAAGGGGTTGAAAGTTGTAAAATGGGTATTTAGATTGGGGGAGAGGGGGAACTTTTCCCAGTTCCTGCTACCTCCATTAAAAGACAAACCACAGTCACTGTTAACAAAGCCTCTTTCCATGGCTTCTTCCATTAGCTCAGAAACAAGATGCAACCAGTTCACTGGATGCAAAGAACGAAAGGCACAAGCTAGGGACTCCGAAATCACACTCTTGAACCCCCTCCAGCTTCATTTCCAGACTTCTCCAGCAGGTGTCGCTGCAGGGCAACACCAGGTAGTGGTTAGGAAACCTCAGGCTGCAGGCAAGGAAGCCAGGGAAATGACCAATCTTTATAATTTGTTTTTATGGAGCCATTCAAATTTAGTAATGAGTGGGGTGAGGTTTTCGATTTGCATTAACCACGAGGACTGGGACTCAGTCTGTGAATTGGAGGATTTCTGTAGAGTGGAGGTATAAAATTACCCTGCTACACTGATCAGCATCAAATGTTACTTGCACCAGACATATAATTTTTCCTTCTAGGCCACAAACACAGAATATATGAAGAGAGAGAGGCCTGGACCAAAGTGCCAGCTATTAACACCCCAATCACTGGCGAAAAGCAGGCTTCATGGAAATAAGAGATTTTTTTTCCCTTCAGAGGGTTTGGATGGAGTTGTGGCTGGAGTCAGACATTTGGACTACTTAAAATACTAGTTAGAAGCATTTGATTTGTTATTTCCATCTATTTATTTATCCAGTGCCTGATCCAAAACCCACATAGAAGCCAATGGAAAGAATCCCGCTGATTTACATGGATCCAGCCCTAAAAGGTTTGCTGGAAGCATATTTGCTGGGAACTCCAAAGAAATTACAGCCCAGTGTCAGAGGAGGCTCTGGATAAGAGAGTCCCAACCCTCTGCCCCTCCTCTTGTCATTCAGATAATCTGTTTGCAACTCTGCAGGGTGAAATGTACCAGATTAGAGTCCCCCCAGATGTTTTCTATAAAATACGATAATCTTATTTAGCAGCTCCTGTGACTCATGGATTCATACATTTTAAGGGACCCTTAGAACATCTGATCTGGCCTTCTGTATAACATAAGCCATAGGATTTCACCCAATTACCGCTGTATTGAGCCCAATAACTTGACTAGAGTTTATCTCCCAGAAAGGCACCCAGTCTTGATCCGAAGACATCGAGAGGTGGGCAGTCTGAACGCTGTCATCTCTCAGCCTCTCTGAAGGGGCGCTCAGCACCTCGGGCAATCAGCCCTTCGGCTGCAATTGATGAGGAGTTTCATTTATTTACTGTGCTAGCCGGGATGTAAAAAACATCATTGTTTTCTCATTGCCCTGATACATGATGCTTAAAACGCAGCTCCGGACGGGCAGACCTGTCTCTACAGCCCTCACTTGCAACAGCAGCCTTCATCGACATGCATTATCCCAGTGTTGTCAATGGAGCTCCTCAGGGGAAGAGTTTGCAGGCTCAGGGTGAGCTGCGTCAGGGATCTAGCCTTCTCACAGCTTCCACTGACATTTAAGAAGAGTTGGGCGGGGGCGGGGAGTTCTACGCAGGCTTACGGATCTGCCTGTGCAGATCTGATTGCAGAATCGGGGCTCCTGGGAGACCCAAAGAGCAGCACGCAGCTCCCCAAGGGGGTGTGTTAATATTTCCTCTGGGGTTGGCATGGCGCTTGCTTAGATATTCGAAAGAGAAAAGCGATTCCTTCTTTTCACAGATGGCTTCTCAGGCTCCCCTGCGCCCAGAGGCCAGTCCCAGCCTGCCCTGCGGTGAGGCAGAAAGCTCTGTCAGCACTTGAGGCCTGCGGGAGGGCAGGGCTCCTCCGTGAAATGATACTTCTGCTGCAGATCGGAACCTGTCCGTCATCACAGCTCCATCACCAGGGGTGTCCAGGATAATTCCACAGCACCTGGGCTCCTGCCTCACTCAGGGACTGAGTGAAAGACGAGCAGCGCTCCTGCTGAGCCAGTGCACAGACCCCAGCCCGGATTCAGGAAAGCACTTTAGCATGTGTTGAAGTCCAGTCCTTCCCTGTACAGGGAGGGATGCATTCTCGCCCCGGGGCCCCTAACAGCACAGCAAACGGTCTCATTTGGAGAGGCCTAGTCAGCTAGCAGGGGGATTCTCTACAAGCGATTTCCTTGCCCAGATCAAGGGCCCAGTTCTGGATAGTGCAAAGCGCCCTCAGATCCCATTGATTCACTGGCAAAAGCATCAAACCCATAGCCCTTGAACGGGCCATGTTCACATGGTGTTTTAATTTGTTAGGCATGAGTTGAGGCCCCAGTCCCAAGCTTCTAGTGAGCACTGGGGCTGACTCTAATGTGTAGGAAAATATACTACACGCGGGAGTTAGGGACTGGAGCTGGGGCTGAAA